TGAAAAATACTATCTTGCATGATCAAATGCAGTATCTGGATGCAACTGGATAATTTTAAAAAAATTGTGTCTTGCCAGCTTTGCTTTGGCCTTCTAAATGGATGCTTGCTATCTGTGTTAAAGTAGAAGGTAATGCAGGCAACAGTGAGAGTGTTTGCTCATAGGACATGGCCATACTACTGTAGGCATTTCTTCTGCATTTTCTTATATATTGGCTCAATGCCCATTTGATGCTGCACTGTCTCATTGCTGACATGGTCAAGAGAAACACCTAATGACCAATAAAGCGTGCACATGCTCCATAAAGATTGTTCAATGAATTTAGTAGTGGCCAGATCTCAGCACCCTATAAAGCTACTAGGCATACCATTTTTTTATATACGGTACCTTCGATTTTGGAAAGATTGGCATGTATCAGAATACTTCGGTGATCTCCTTCCGTTGTAGCCATACTTCACTCTTGCATGCACTTTATCATTAATGCTACTGTCACTTTGTAGATGGGATCCTAAGTAACAGAAGATGTTGGTCTTCCCTAATCTTTACCACTGACTTGTATGGTGAAGGTGCTTCGTCTGGTCTGTATGTATTCTGTCTTCTTGAGGTTGAGGCACAGGCCAAATTGGCGATTGTTCCATGTCTAGATATATTGCTTTAGTTCTTGTCTAGTGGCAGCTGCAAGCATATCATCAGCATAAAGCAATGCCCAAGGGATATCATGTTGCAGTTCTTTCATGAGAGTAACCATAATGAGAATGAATAGCAAGGGTGATAATTACGTATCTTGGTGAATACCAACTTATCTATCGGAAAGGCCTGCAGTGTCCATCACCTGACCTTGTATTTGTATAAAGCATCTGCTTAATTTGTATAAAGCATCTAGGCACTTTTTATCAGTTGCTCAGACACATCATGATCACGTAGTACATACCAGATTAACTGATGCTAAGGCTTTTTCAAGGTCAAGGAAAGCCAAGTACAATAGTTGCTCCTTTTCTCAGTGTTTCTTCATTAGCATGCGGACAATGAAAATGGCATCAGTTGGGCTAGAACATTTGGAGGTGAATTGATCAATAGAGAAATATGCTGGGTCACTTTTATTCTTGAAGAGGGGCAATCAACAGTTATGTGTCCAGAGTCCACAAAGGCATTCAAAAAATGTTAGCCAATTGGCTGCTTTTCCACTAAATTCCTCCAGTTTCCAAATGTCTGCTAATAGGACATCAGGGCCTGGCACTTTTGAATTCTTCATGTTACAAATTCCTTTGTAATCTCTTCCAGCAAGATGTGTGGGACTGGACCAGCATTGGACAAGCCCTCAGGAATTAGTGGGTGTAGAAATTTGACGTTAGATATTTCACTGAAGTACTGTTGCCAATTTTCCAGAATTTCGTGTTTGTCCACCTTTCTTTCACACATACATAGTGCTCTTATTTGCTAACCTTCATGTCCAATTGTTTGTATAAGTCACAATAAGTCCCAGAATTTTTTTTTAAGTATAAAGATAAAGGATCCCCTTGCACATCTGTGCTAGTCATTCCAAACTTGAGGGCAGTACTCATTTCCATTTCGCTGCCCGAAGACGTCTCCGTGGTCATGTGGTCGGCATGACTAAACACTAAAGGCACACAGAACACAGTTACCTTCCCACCAAAGTGGTCCCTATTTTTTCTACTTGCATTTTTTTTTACATGCTTTCAAACTGCTAGGTTGGCAGAAGCTGGGACAGGTAATGGGAACTCACTCCATTACACGGTGCTAGTGATTTGAAGTCTACAAACATATAGAATTAAAAAATAATTTACAATGAACTTGTGCACATATCAATATCAAAAAAAGCTCCTTAAAAATGCTTCCAATTTTTCAATAGTTTGCTTATAAAGCATAGCAGTATCCCTGCCAAGCTATGTCACACATCTGAGAGCTGCATTTGATCTTTAGAATTAGAATTATTTATTTGTCAGTGCACAACATATGTACAATGAGATTGGTTGGTCTCCCTCAGTGCACCCTTCCCCAACACAATACAACTCACAGTGAAGCAAACATCCCTAATACAATAAATCATACTGACAAACAACCAGTTCTATTGCACAAGTGTGAACATGTTACATGTTGCGTGGCCCTACAAGTCCATCATACTACATAGTTATGATGTTATTTTGCATTTAGAAGTCTAGCAGCCCATGGATCTTTTTCTTTCTGTGTACCCTCAAGCAGAAATAAGGCTTAAATCTTCAACCAAGATTTCATCATACACTTTTAACATCTATACATTTTCTATATCAATGTGTTATGTTCTGATTATTTTACTTCTATTAGCAATCTCAATTATCTTGTTGGAGAGAAAGACATATACTTACATATCAACATACCCATCATGCTATTTCCTTATAAGAAAAGCAACATTATGTAAAACACAGAAGCAGCAAGATAAATGGTGGGCAAAATAAATGGGACACACAAGATGGATGAAAAAGAAATCTAATTCCAGCTTAGACAAACACAATTCACTTTAGCTCTTCATTCCCTTCTACTATTGGTGCTATCATGTTGATACACTACAACACCCTTTATTCTTTAAAATTCTTATTTCTATTCTTCTTCTTTTTTTAGGATTAAATTTATTTCTCACTGCTGAAGAAGTTTTAACAGAGGTTATCAGGGATGCTGTAACAGTGGCTGCCTATACTGGGACTAAAAATCTTCAAATTTCTTTTACATTACCTAAAAAAAGTTTTCGTCAGCCTCAACCAGTAATAACATTCTTGGTTCATTTCTCTGCCTTTCAATCTATTTACTCTCCTTTCATATGCTGTATTTATTCTGCAAAAAAAAAAAAGATCAGATCAATATGAGTCCTCTATACTAGTGACTGTGGTTTGTATTCAATCCACATTTATTCTTCACCTGTATATTCTTGGCATGACAAAAGTTTATCATTGATGAATGGTATGGGAAAGTGAAAACATGTGTTTTCTCCCTTGTGGATAATTATATTTGGAATTATGAATTAATTCAGGAGAGATAAAAGATCTGAATCAGATCACATGATAGAGCAATGATATCACTTCTTATAGTGTACCTCCCTGTTGCCCAGAGGCAGCATAAAAACAGGTGGTATTCCTGTAAATTAATATACTATGCCTTTCCACAAAGGTCACCAAGGGGTAAGAGTACATACATAAAGTTCAACTCTCAGAATAATAATACAATATTAAAAGCAATGTAGAATAGTCTTGAATCCACTTTTTTTAAAGAATTGAAAATGGGAACCCATCCAGTGCTGGAAAAAAATATTTTCACAATTTGGAAAAATACAAGAAACTTTTCTTTAAAAACAACAACTAAACAAACTTTGTGGGTTTCCTTTCTTTCTGTCTGATAAAAACTGGGAACAATAAAAAAATACTCCCATGATAGGAAAGCATAGTGGAATAAAATGTGCTGATCACTACCAAGAATAGGATAAGTGCTGGAATCATTGTGCATCTATACTCCGTAAGGCCATTTTTAACCTGTTGCCTGGTTGATTACTTAATACAGCAGCATCCTTTTTCAGTATTTTCCATTTTAATCTCAGACTATAGTACCTGATGTATGAAATCAGGTGAAGTATGGAGCTAATGTATAGACATCAAATCAAAAGTACTTATACAAATGTACAAATTTGATGTACTAACATCAAACATTAGAACCATTTTATAATACCTTAGTAAGATCACACTTGGAATATTGCATCCAGTTTGGGTTGCCACAATGTAAAAAAGATGTTGAGACTCTAGAAAGAGTACAGAAAAGAGCAACAAAGATGATTAGGGGACTGGAGATTAAAACATATGAAGAATGATTGCAGGAATTGAGTATGTCTGATTTAATGAAAGAAGGACTACGGGAGACATGATAGCAGTGTTTCAATATCTCAGGGACTGCCACAAAGAAGAGGGAGTCAAGCTATGCTCCAAAGTACCTGAGGGCAGGACAAGAAGCAATAGATGGAAACTAATCAAGGAGAGAAACATCCTAGAACTAAGGAGAAATTCCCTGACAGTTAGAATAATTAATCAGTGGAATGACTTGCCTCCAGAAGCCGTGGATGCTCCAACACTGGAAGATTTTAAGAAAGATTGGACAACCATTTCTCTGAAATGGTATAGGGCCGGGATGGTGAACATATGGCATGCGTGCCACAGGTGGCACACGGAGCCATTTGTCAGGGCACGCGAGGCGTTGCCCTGTCAGCTGGCCAGGGCTCATGTGCGTGCTGGCCAGCTGAGTTCAGCCTTTTTTAAAGCCATTTTTCACCCTCTCCAGGCTCCAGAGGCTTTATAGGAGCCTGGGGAGGGCGAAAACAGCCCCCCACCCATGAGGTCCTCCGGAGGCTTCAGGAGCTTTCCTGAAGTCTCCAAAGCACAAAAAACTCACCCTTTGGGCAAACTGGAAGTTCGGGAAATGAGTTCCGGTTTGCTTGTAAGGTTGGTTTAAGCCCTCTGGAGGCTTTAGGGACCTTCAGGAGGACTAATTTCCGGTTTGCTTGTAGGGTCGTTTTTAGCCTCCTAAAGATCCCTGAGGCCTCCAGAGGACTAAAAACAGCCCCACAAGCAAACCAGAAGTCACTTCCTGTTTTCTTGTAGGGTTGTTTTTAGTCTTCCAGAGGCTTCAGGGAAGCCTCCTGAAGGTCCCAAAAGCCTCCAGAGGGCCTCCGGTGGGTGGGGGAGGCTGTTTTTGCTATAAAGCCTGTGGAGCCTGGGGAGGGCGAAAAAAGTATGCAAAAATGAGGGGAGTGTCTATCATGCGCGCATGCGCACTGGGGCAGTCATGCATTGCATTATGGGTGCGGCATGCCCCCTGCACTCCCCCAACCTTATGGCATGCAAGCCAAAATAGGTTCACCATCGCTGGTTTAGGGTTTCCTACTTGAGCAGGAGTTGGCAGTATAAGACCGCCAAGGTCCTTTCCAGCTCTATTCTCATTCTGATTCTAATTTTAATTCAAACAAATAAATAATTCCTTTAAAAACAGCAGATTAGTGTTTGTTTTTTAAGTTTTAAAGGCATCTTGAATAAATGGCGCCCTCTGGTGATTTTATCTATGCTTTGAAGAAAGTTTTATTTCCAAAAGAATTGTACAACATGGATATGTTATAAATTGCAAATATGGAATTAAAACATATCCAACATTTTTCCAGATTAAAACACGCAAACTATTTAGTACTAAAGTATAAATTAATCAAATGCTTTCATATAATAATTTATTTGGTTTCAAGCTTTTGCTAACTTCTCCATGGTATCTATGAGAAGATTCATAACAATATGACTTTTAAAGAAATGTATATGGCCGCCCAACTTATACAAACTCGATGATATGCAATTAAAGTTAGTAAAGCATACTACAAAGCCAATTAAAACAATAAACATAGATAAGAGTACAAGAATACAAGTGACTGACAGAACAAGGTAATTTAATTTGAAAAAAATATATTCAGTCATATAAATTAAGCATGCAAAATGCATACTCCAGCAGTTTTAAGCAACTATAGATTTCAACAGGAGTTAAATCATACATCTAAATGGTACATAGTTTGCGAAGGTTTCTCTAATGAAAGACACAGAAAAGGCTCTGTTGCCATTCCCATGCTATAAAAATACAAAGAAAGCAAAAGTGAATCAGTACGTTATGTACCTCTTGTTTTTAAGATCAATGGGCAGGCATTAAAGTAAATGCTTTCAAAAGCTGATACAAGCAGTGGAAAAAAAAATAGAAGTTAGATGTCTTTTCTCTCCCAGAAAATTGGTTTATCTGGTTTCTCTTCAGATCGTATAAATCTTTCGCCTTTCTCTCCCAAAATGGCAAAATGTATGTAATTAGTAATCCTTCCTTATACATAGCAATCAACATGTTCATTCAATTTGTAAGAACAGCTAGCAACTGTAATTATGCTGTTGAATCTGGACATCCGTTGAGTTTACATAGGGATTTTACTTCAAGTTTTTTCATCGTCTGTTACATGTTAGAACGGGTCAGCCAGTGAAAATCCTGAGAATACAAAGGAGTAGCAATACTCAACATTTCAGGATAAGAAACTACAAGAAATGATACACAGACACAAGGTATAGCAGATTATAATATTCAAGGATATACTGAAAAATTTTCTAAACATCACTCACTTTGTAAATGTTTAATAAAAATGACGATCTATTATTCAGGACTGATCAAATAATGGAATTAACGTTAATATTAAAAAGTCAAGAATAATGACAAATTCCACAAACACTTACTTGTTTTTTTCTGTCTGATTGTGGGTTGATCATGACATTAAGGAGAGAAGGGACAAGCTTTTCAGCTAAGCTTTTTTTCAGGGCAGTTTGTAATTCTTCCGGTGTTTGAACAAAGTACCCTTTGCCACCAAAGGCAGACATAATCTGCTCATAGCGAGCATCTGGCAACAAAGCTACTGGAGGTGCGCTGAAATTAAGTAAAAGGATTTGGCTTAGGGTAGTGGGTTAACAGTCTTAAGCAAGAAATCAAACATCATAAAACGTCACTGTTAATTTGCTAAACAAGTAGAACTTCATTTTACCAAAGCCCCAGGGAAATTGCTCAGGACCCAATTAATTACTATTAATTAATTAATTAATTAATTAAAACAGGATTTTATTGAAGAAGAAATCTCATTGGTGGAAAAACAGCTTTTTGATCTCTTCTGTTCAATTTCAAAGCATTCTGGGTGATTTCAACAAAGCTCTCTAACAGATTTTTAAGTCTCAGTGAAATTTTTTAGTAATTAAAATTCTCAGAATGGAAGCTCTTTCACAATGGAAGCATTCAGAAGAACCCCTCATTTCAATGTTAAGTTACAAATATTCTCCTTTATCGGAAGCATTGACTATAGCAATTATTTGATGTCCATCTTTTCTATGCTTAGTTTTTATTTATTTATTTATTTTTATAATAAGCACTATCATTTTCTCCATTTTCTATTTATACAAACTTTTTTTCCTTATTTGGGCCAGCATCAATTGCACCAGAATTCTCCAATCTGGTTTCTTCCAGAAGTAGAGGATTATACATTTCTGAATTCTCAGCAGCTGTTTGGAAATGTGCAAGATCTTAGAATGGGGATACCTGGCAAAAGCAGTTAAAATGCAGGATAACATTTCACCACTGCCATACTGACAATTATTGGAAATGCTAGGAATGCAAAGTGTATCCCACTCTGGGGTTCTCCTTTCTTAATGATAGTATCTTTTTATTTTTGATTTTTCAGGAGCAGAGGAACTCTACCTCTTCCAATTAAAAACAGAAAACCAAAACCATGACCATCTTTCCTTCCAGAAGATAGGAGTGTTCTGGGATACTCTAGAGGTTTTGAAAATTCCACTGCTCAAGGTAGTATGGCCAGTGCAGAAAGGGAAGCTGGAATTTCTACTCTAAAGCACCTCAGTCATTGTTTCTCAAACTTGGCAAATTTAAGATGTGTGGACTTTTTTACTTTCAGAATTCCCCAGCTAAAGCTGCCAAATTTAGGAAACATTGACCTAGAACAGCAATCGTGGACCTTTTTTGGCTCACATGCCATAAGCGGGGGGAGCGCAGGAGGGTCAGGTGTGGGTGTGCCGCACTCATAATGCAATACCCACCTCCTGCAGTGTGTAAGCGTGCATGACAGGCACAACTCCCAATTTTTTGCATGTTTTTTTCACCCTCCCTAGGCTCCAGAGGCTTTATAGGAGCATGGGGAGAGCGAAAACACCCTCCCCCGCCCCCTCGGAGGCCCCCCGGAGGTTTCAGGAGTTTCCCTGAAGCCTCCGGAGGACTAAAAACGACCCTACAAGCAAACCGGAAGTGACTTCTGTTTTGCTCGTAGAGCTGTTTTTAGTCCTCTGGAGCCTTCAGGGAAGCCTCCGGAAGGCCCCTGAAGGCTCCAGGGGGCTTAAACCGGCCCTATGAGCAAACCGGAAGTCCATTCCCGAACTTCCGGTTTGCCTGTAGGGCCGTTTTTTGCGCTTCGGAGGCTTCAGGGAAGTTCCTAAAGCCTCCAGAGGGCCTCCAAAGGGGGCGGGGAAGGCTGTTTTCGCCCTCCCTAGGCTTCTATAAAGCCTCTGGAGCCTGGGGAGGGCAAAATGGCTTTAAAAAAGGCTGAACTCAGCTGGCCAGTGCATACATGCGCGCTGGCCAGCTGATAGGGCAACGCCTCACGTGCCCTGACAAATGGCTCCGCGTGCCACCTGTGGTACCTGTGCCCTAGGTTCGCCATCCTGGACCTAGAAGAATAACTATAATAGAGCACATTTGTGAGGGAAGGGTGCTACTGCTATATTTAGCACAGGTAATATCGGAATGAGAAGTAGTATGATATGGCACCCACCCTTATTTCATTTAACTCTAGAGTTTGATGAAGTTGAAGCAATTATGATACTTTATTGTATACACTGTAGCTTGTAATGCTTTAAGTACAACATCCAATTTGTAAGAGCAAGAAGTTAAATATTCTAAAGACTAATCAAAGTCAACACCAAAGTACTTACTATGTAGATGGTTCTCCAAGCTTCAGCATATCCTTCCAGGTGTTTGAGTCCAAGCCAGTGTATATTCCATTGTTGTTGACTATGATTATAATGACTGGCAAGTTATGCCTGTAGTGATTAATGAAAAGGAACTCATCTGAAGGACAGTTTTCTATTTGAAGGATTGTTTTCTAATTATAATATGGTAGAAACTCTCACTTTGCACAGGAAGAGGTTTTTGTTTTTGTTTTAAAATAAAATTTGGTAGCACAAAAGTTTTACCTGCAAAGTGTCTCCACTTCCATACCAGAAAAACCAAATGCACTATCGCCTTCTATACAGATCACTCGCTGCTCAGGATTACAGGTTTTAGCAACCATAGCAGCTGCAATTGCAAAACCAAGTCCAACTCCCATTGTCCCAAAGGTACCAGCATCCAACCTACAAGGAATATATATTTTATATAAATTTAAATTTTTCCATCATAGAATGTTTTCTGTTGGAGGTTTCTTAATTCACATCCACAATCCCAACTTCTTAAGAATATAGGGAATATATTTATAAATACCAGATAGATAGTATATATGTATCTTTGTGTGTGTGTGTGTGTGTGTGTGTGTGTGTGTGTGTGTGTGTGTGTGTGTGTGTATATATATCTATATATCTACTATACTAGTATAGATCTATTTCAAGCTATTTAGCTCTCATCAGCTAGCGATACCCTTACTGGGATTTGAACCTGGGCACCATATAGTGTCACAACTCCCTGATATGCCTAAATATGGGAGGAAGCTTACTGCTTCTATTCTCTGTCCATCGGCTCGTCACAAGAGACCATCCAGACAGAAACCCAATATTTTTAATGTTGCCTTTTGTTACATTTGTGTTGTATTTGTGCTGATAGTCTCCCTTTATTTATTTATCAGCACAAATACAACACTTTATATATATGTGTGTGTATATATATATATATATATATATATA